TTGGGTGACCGAGACAGATTGGGGATTCTGTTGGTGTACCGTGCACCCTTCTGCCCAACAGTCTCCCTACCTGAGCTGACGGAGACTGTCTCGGACCTGGTGTTGAGGACCCCCAGGATGTTGGTCCTGGGGGACTTCAATCTCCATGCCGAGGCTAGTCTGACCAGGGCGGCTCAGGACTTCATGGCCTCCATGACGACCATGGGGCTGTCTCAACATGTCACCGGCCTGACCCATGAACGTGGACACACTCTGGACCTGGTTTTCTCGATGGGGCAGGAAGAAGGTGGTCTGAGGGTGAGGAATTTATGCTTGACTCCCCTGTCATGGTCAGATCACTTCCTGGTGAGGTTTGTGCTCGAGAGCGACATCTCCCTCTGTAAGGGTGTGGACCCGATTGTGTGGGTCCGCCCCCGGAGCCGGATGGATCCGGAAGGATTCCTGAAGGCCCTGGGGGAGTTTCTGGCTGACAAGACGGGTGCTCCTGTCGAGGCTCTGGTCGAACTGTGGAATGGGGAGATGACCAGGGCTGTAGACACGATCGCTCCTAAGCGTCCTCTCCCACTGGGCACAGCCCGCTCTTCCCCTTGGTATACCCCAGAATTGAGGGCGATGAAGCAGGTTGGGAGACGGCTAGAGCGTAGGTGGAGGAAATCACGGGATGAATCTGACCGAACACACTTAAGAGCCCACTATCGGGCCTATGCTGTGGTGGTGAGGGCAGCGAAAAAGAGATTCTTTTCCGCTTCCATTGCCTCCTCACAATGCCGTCCGGCGGAGCTCTTTCGAGTGGTGCAAGGCCTGGTTCGTCCAGGTCCGAAAGAAGAGCTGATTCCACCCTCAAAGGCCCGCTGTGACGACTTTGCCGGGCATTTCAGGGAGAAAATCACTCAGATTCGTCACGAGCTGGATTCCACTATTGATTCAGAGGTTTTAAGGGAGACACCAACGCTACCGTCTAGTCCAGAATTATTGGATGAATTTCAGTTATTGCGGCCCGATGATGTGGACAAGGTGCTTGGACGAGTACGTCCTACCACTTGCCTTTTGGACTCCTGCCCGTCTTGGTTAATAAAGGATTCCAAGCACGGGATTGGAATCTGGATCTTGGAAGTGGTTACCGCCTCTCTGAGGGAGGGTCGGGTGCCTGCCCCTTTAAAGGAGGTGGTAGTCCGACCAGTCCTGGAGAAGGCCTCACTGGATCCAGGGATGGTCACTAATTATAGACCAGTGGCCAACATCCCGTTTCTGGGCAAGGTGTTAGAGCGAGTGGTGGTGGGACAACTCCAAGCACTCTTGGATGAAACTGATTATCTGGACCCATTTCAGTCCAGCTTCAGACCCGGGTATGGCACTGAATCTGCCTTGGTCGCCCTGTACAATGACCTGTGCAGGGAGAAGGACAGGGGGAGTGCGTCCCTGTTGGTTCTCCTGGACCTCTCAGCGGCTTTCGATACCATCAACCATGGTATCCTTCTGGATAGGCTTGCGGGATTGGGGGTCGGAGGCACCGCCTTGCGGTGGTTCCACTCCTATCTCAACGGCCGATTCCAGAAGGTGGTGCTGGGGGACTATGGCTCTGCGCCATGGCAGCTTTGCCATGGAGTACCGCAGGGGTCCATTTTGTCCCCTTTGCTGTTCAACATCTACATGAAACCGCTGGGAGAGGTCATCAGGAGGTGTGGGCTGCGGAATCATCAGTACGCTGATGATACCCAGCTCTACCTCTCGTTTTCCACCAATCCAGGTGAGGCAGTGGCTGCACTGAACCAGTGCCTGGCCGAGGTAATGGGCTGGATGAGGGCCAATAAACTGAAACTCAATCCAGACAAGACGGAGGTCCTGTTGGTTGGCGGTTCGGGCTTCGGAGAAGGTGAATTGAACCTTGTCCTGAATGGGGTTGCACTCCCTCCTAGGGACAAGGTCTGCAGCTTGGGAGTGCTCCTCGACCCGGAGCTTTCACTCGAAGCTCAGGTGACAACAGCGGCGAGGAGCGCTTTCCTCCAGCTTCGGCTGATTCATCAGCTGCGTCCGTACCTGGAGTACGACTGCCTTGCAACAGTGACTCATGCGCTGGTGACTTCCCGTCTTGACTTCTGTAACGCGCTCTACGTGGGGCTACCCTTGAAGACGGTCCGGATACTTCAATTGGTTCAAAATAGAGCTGCCAGGCTGCTGACGGGGACTGGACGTTATGTTCACATGACTCCAGTTCTCCGTCAGCTTCACTGGCTCCCCATTGAAGTCCGGGCCCAATTCAAGGTGTTGGTGATGACCTATAAAGCCCTAAACGGCTTGGGTCCTGGTTACCTGAAGGAGCGCTTACATCCATATATGCCCAGCCACCCCCTGAGATCGGCGGGAGAGGCCCTTCTCCGGGAGCCCCCCGTGACAGAAATTAGGAGGGTGGCTACCCGGAGGAGGGCTTTCTCAGCGGTGGCGCCTAAGTTATGGAATGCGCTCCCCAGAGAGGCCCGCCTGGCGCTGTCGTTATTTGTTTTTCGGCGCCAGGCGAAGACCTTTTTATTTAAGCAACATTTTAAATGTTAATACCACTGAATTTTATCTGGCCAGGGCGGCTTATTTTATATTGTGTGTATATTGGATTTTAAATTATTATTACTATTTTATTTGTATATTTTAATTTATGCGGTTTTATTTATTGCTGTAAGCTGCCCCGAGGCTTCGGAGAATGGGGCGGCATAAAAATGTTCTAATAAATAAATAAATTTAGAACAACCTTCCCACTTTGGCTCACCTGGCCCTGAATCTGTTATCTTTTCTGTGCCAGGTAATGATGACCCTCTTCTCCGAGGCCTTTAAAGATTTACTTGGCTTTCCAGGGTCTTGAGGCTGTATTTTGCAGACTCATTTTTAAATATTTTCTGGTTTAGGTGTTTTAAACTTTTTATTTTGTTCAGTTTTGATTATATTTGACCGTATTTTTGTCTGTTTTTACTGATTGTTGTAAACTGCCCAGCCGTGGGGTGGTACAGAAATGAAATTAATAATAATAATAATAATAATGAAAGAAGTAGTAATAAAATGATTCTTTAGAAGCACCTTTTAGCCTAAAATTTGGCACTCAAGTAAGAAGTATAGCTACCAACTGAAAGGAATAGCTGGAAATATTCCTATAGAAATAGGGGAATGACAGACAGCCTGGATGCCACATTTTGGACCAACTGTAGTTTTCAGTAACTTTTAAAAGGCTGTCCTTTGCAGAGTGCATTGCATTAATGCAGCCATGATATATAACTAAGACATGTGTACCTATGGGATGATCTGCATTCTTCATAATTTGAAAAGGTGACACCTCTCCAACCAAGCGCACAATGGTACTTTTGGACAATGAATTGATAGTGCACCAAAAATTTCTAGCTGTAATAAACAGGAACTGAGGATGCTTCTGAGGCGGAGGTGGGGAGTAAAATTAATTGATCTCTAGTGCTTTGTTGCTTGCAGTAGGAAAACCTGTTCATTCCATTGTGCTATCTTCGTATATTTGTAAATAAAGCAAATATTGCAAAGACGTCATAAATTTCTAGTCCAGATCCTCCTCACCTAAAGAAAACTAATGCTCACCACTTGGAAAATTAGAGTACATATTTCATAAGGGAATCAGCTTGGAAAATTTTAGCACAGGATCAGAGGGATACAGGCTGTACATGTACATGGATGCATAACCTCAAGAGGTTTTTAAGAGTTCAGCCTCTATCGCAAACATCAACACCCGCCATGAAAACATGCTTGCATCTGTTGTTGAAATTTTTGCCTCATATCTTCCATCAAAGTGTACAGAGCACAGTAAGACAAATGGTACTACCAAATTCCTTGGAATATAAGAGTAATTTTAGTATGTGGCTGCACAAGCAATCACAGATTAATGAAATTCAAAATTCATAGCTGATGGCAACAGCAGCAGCACTAGCACACAACAGCAATTCTAAGAGTTATGGATCAACGAGTGGCAGGTGTTTCATATTTTAAGAAAATAACTGGAAGTTTGGATTTGAGCCCTGAAGCTGCCTGCATAAACTTACATCTTTGTCAGTTATGCTGGTCTTCTGGAGGTATTTGCATAAAGCATCCCTTAGAAGACTCCACCATTAAAATAATTCCAGTACATGAAAAAGTTTCTCATATTTGCCCTGGTATTGATAGAATTTGATATTATTTCTATGAAGCATAATGTGCACCTGCTATTTTCTATCATTTTTAAAGATACATCATGCATTGCTAAGCAATCAGTCTCTGTCAAATAATATTCTAATATAGAAAATGTATGTGCAGTTCTATTATATCAGTCACTTCGTGCAACAGATGGAGTGGGCAGTGTTGCTGCCGGAGCAACATACAGGGCTGCAGACATTACATAACATGTTTTCTTGTTAGCATTATTTCCAAAACAAGGGATTATTTAAGCACAATGCCAAGCACTATTTCCTATCTAATAGTGTGTGTCAACTGATATACTTGACTTGACCGGTCTGGTTTGCATTGTATCCAAAAGACATCTAGGATAGTGCTACCTATAACTCTTTAAGACCTAACTACTGTTTTATGTGCAGATGTACTTATCAGAGCTCCCAAAACATTTTAAAAGAAAGAGCCACTTTAGGACAGGGTGACTGGGAGTGAAGAGGTGGTGTGGAGCACAAGCCATTCCCTGTTTGGCTTTTCCCCTCCCACCTTCACAGCGCTTTCCCCCCATGAGATTTCAAATGTGCATTTGTCTTCTAAGTAATCTGATTCTGCTGTGAATTACAATTATATTTGCTATATGTTTTTGTTGCCCAAAGCTCCATAGGTAAACCAGCAATCATCTCAGCTGAAACCATAACTTTTTCTAAATCAACTGATCACAAGTATGCATGCATTATACAGTTGTCATCTTCAATTAATTTTCTTTAAAGTAATTCAGATATAGATGAAAGTTAGTTGTGTTTCCTCATTTCAGGGAATTAAGTTGTAAATCATATGATGATACACTAGCTTACCTTGAAACAACCAGAGGTAGAATCAACATTTTCAGCATTCTCATCAATAACTCTCCAGGAAACTGGAAATAGCTGATCTCCTATGAAAGTAAAGGAATGAGTTAATTAGTTGAGTATATATGCTTATCTTTCTTTGTTAAGCCACAGTTAAAATGCTGCAATCTTGTTCCTAAACATTCTGTCTCAATGGATGCCATTGCAAATGGCATAAGGTGCTTCAGGTAGATTATTTATGGTATAATTGCACTACCTCCTTTGTAGGGGACGCTAGATGACATCATTTTCATTTTGTATCCGCCTCATATGTTCCAACTTCTTTGCCTTTTTTGTTCCTGGAGTGCCAGAGGGACTTGCATTAACACTGCAATTGAATGTATGTATACCCAGAAGTAAGCCCCATTGAATTCAGTGAAGTCCTAGGTAAGTGGGTTTAAAAGTTCAGCCAAAGGGGATACAAAAGATTAAATAGCTTGAAGGGTGGGAAGAGGTGAAAATGAATAGGATGAAATAGCACTGTGGTTTGGAAAATATCAACAGATTGAAGTAATAATGCAGTCCTCGTTGCACTGGCTTGAAAAAATTACTGAAATGTATGAGGTAAACACTGTGAATTTAGTAGGACAGATGCTCTTAATATAGGGGGAAATGGTCTTCGGTGCAATTAGAAAAAAAGTATTAAAGCTTCTGTCACCAAGACATCTGTCCATACAGCTATTGATATCTCATTTCCCTGAAGGGAGGTCTATATGAATGAAACTTAATCCTGGTAAGAATGTGAACAACAATTAAAAATAGCTACTCTCTTGGTACAAACGTAATGCAGTGTTTTCTTTTGGCTTAGTATTTTCTCCATATGAATGATGCTATTTAGAATGAAATTCAGTTCTCAGTTGTTAGTAACAGATATCTCATGCCAATATATTTTCATATGCTACATTGTTTTAAAAGACACACACACACACACACACACACACACACACACACACACAGAGAGAGAGAGAGAGAGAGAGAGAGAGAGAGAGAGAGAGAGAGAGAGAATATGTTGTTTGGCAAGAAGATTAATGGAGCCTTCTATCAAGTATCTAGCACTGTGCTCTAAAGAAATTATTTCTTTCTGTTTGTCCAATATGAAATAGATGAATTAATCAAGTAGTTTTAATAACCTAACTTTTTAAAATAATGGCATTTTGTGGCAAGGTTCCAAAAATATTTCAGAGACAATCCAAACCACTGATTTTGGACTGATTTTACTAAAGTTTGATTGAAATTTGTGGAACCATATCAGAATACATTATAAGGGGCCCATCCTGCTGTATGACAACAACACTCACTTGTCAGTAGAAATAAGGCACTGTACCAGAAATTCACAATACTACCCTTTAAAGTCTTTGGATTCTTTAAAGTTGAATTATATTTGAACTGTCCTTTAAAGTATTATGACTACTGCAGTTTCAGGATCTATTTTTTTGTGTACATCTATCATTGCACAATAGCTTTGAGTTTGTTAAGAGATACCAGTACCAAAGAAGCCCTCTCAAACAAGTTCCTCCTTGCGAAAATCAGCCATGGTTTTACAACCAGAGTTCTACATCTTGGTTTACACAGTATCACTCAATCCTGAAATATGTTCTGAAAATCAGTGGCTAAGTGATTTTCTTATAAGACCAAAACTGTTTCTTCTCGCCACGACTGCTACATTTGCTGCTGCTGGTGCTGTTATTTCATTTCTATCCTGCCAGTAGCTGAAGCTTTCTGGCAGTGTACAACAAAATATAAAAAATAGGTTTAAAAGATGTAAAATTAATTTAAAATAATGTAACATGTGTCACTGACCTGTTGAGAGAGGCGCCTAGTTCTGAGGAAGAATCCAAGGAGGCATCCCACAATGACCGATAACACGGAGAGAATGAGTAAACCATTTCTTTTACAGACATCCTTGACCCGAGCCAGCACTGCATCGAGAGCCACTGCCATGCTGTCCTCAGTGCTCTCTGGGACAGAACCAGCATCCCATAGAAATGGAGACCTCGGCAGCCACTCCAGTTAGAATAGCCAGCTCTGACTCAGTGTAGATTAGATCAAACCGTTTCTAGTGGTGCTTAGCTGACCTGCAAGGTCACCTCTTCTGCCAGTAGCCACCAAGCCTGTAGCTGGCATTATTTCCAAATTAATACCAACAATCCTATTAGTGACTACATCAATAAGAACCTGGAAGAAGATTAGGGACTCTGGAAAATTAGAACAGAGTGGAGTAGTATTTTTGAAACAAGAGTGATCTCAAAGCCAAGCAACACTTGATATGAAAAATAAAGCAATTCATCATCCAGCCCTGATAAGTGCAGTGATCATAAATCTGGATAGTATAAAGAGAACAGAAAAGGCTGCTTATTCCACAGTCATTCAAAGGCTAGGTGAGTAACACTGGGTTATCATGTTAGGTTGAAATTTTTTATTTACATGTTAGGGTAGGGTAGTGACAGACTGGACTTGGTTAAGCAGGTTTAATTTTCACTGATACTTTAGGGGTAAAAGAAAATGCATGTACCTGTAAATGTGTGAACTTAAGTCTCTATCAATCTTCTTCTTGCAGCTAAATTCAGTGGAGGTTACTCTCTAGTACACATAGCATAACAACCTTATGGGGAGTGGGGCACCTGTCTCCTGCATTATCTGTGGCCAGACTCACCTTGGTCAGTGCCAGATTTGATAATTTACTGCTATTATTCCTGGTCATTGTGGAAGCTCGCACAATAATCACTGGGCCATTGATTATAAATCTAATGTTCTGCTATCACAACTTCTTACTTTTTAAAAAAATCAGTAAATTAGCCCATCATGCTATTTTTATTTTCTTCTTAGAAATTCAGCATAAGAAGCAAACCTCCATAGGACAGATACAAAGGACATTTTTATATCATCTACTCAAAAGTACATAAAACTCAATGAAGACCAAAGTACAGGCTGTTTCATTAGAGTTATTAAACTGGCTCAGCAAAGTTATAGTTATTTTCTCATGTTCCCACATCATGCTAATCATGCTTTAGTGAAATGTGCATGCACAGGAAGATGCTGCGGCAAACTTCGGGCTCATGTACTCTCTCTCCTATCTCTTCCTCTTACAAGTGCTAGGATCTTCCCCAACATCCCAAGTTCCATTAATTTGTTGTGTTGTCCAAAGGCCTCCTCTTGGATGCATACCCTAATATGATGAGGGGGTTTGAGAGTGTCAGAGAAACTGAAGCAATGCCACCAGGAGGCTACACTGTCTCATAGGATGGTCTCCTAGCAGGATCACCCAAGGTGGAATAGCCAAAGTGGAAACTCTAAACTAAGATGCCTCCATCCTCTTTGGGAGTAACAATCACATAAGCAGAATAAAATGGGTATCTCTAATGGCGATAGGGGCAGAGAAACTCCAGAAGGGCAGCTACTGGGCAGCCATAGTAGTCGAAGGTAACACTGGTGGAAGATCTTTCACTGACAACAGCAGAGACACTCAGGCTAACTTTGGTAAGTACCGTATGAAGGAGGCAATCAAAAACCATCTTTTTACCTTGAAAACCCTATGATGGAACAAGAGATAGCAGCAGAAAGAGAGATCTCCAAGTCAAAAGGCAGTCAATGAGCTACTAGGGGACAGCAAAGGGCAAGTACAAATAGTGTTGTTTGTCACTAATAATAAATAGATTAAAGCCAAAGGGAAGTCTAGTGGCAGGCATGCACCATGGGATGGTTTGATGCTGCACAACACATACAACTGGAATATGAAACATGAGAAGTATGAATCCAGGCAAACTAGAAACAATAAACAAAGAAATAGAACACCTAAATTAAATTTTTATTTATTTGGGATATTTCTAGTCTGTCCAATCACTTTTGTCTCTGGATGACTCACAGCAAAATCTATAAATACAGCAATAAAAATAACATACATAAACCAAACAATAATAAAGTAGATATCCCACAACTAAATATCATAGTACTTGGTGTGAGTGAATTAAAGTGGACTGGAATGAGACATTTTCAATCAGATAAACACAGTGTTTTACTCTGGAAACTCAGAAGAAGAAACAGTGGCTTACTGAGGCAAGATGTAGTAAAGGCAGTAAGAGGATATAATGCAAAACCGGACTGAATACTATCAGTCAGAATTAGTGAAAAGCTATCAGCATCACAATCATTCAAGCCTGCACTCCAACAAGAAACACTGAAGACGAAACTGAACACTTTTATGTAGGTGTTCAAGAGGAAATTGATAACACTCCAAAGCAGGACAGGTTGATTAATCGTAGCTGACTAGAATGCAGAAGTAGAAAATAAAGCAGAATCAAATGCTGTAGAGAAATTTGGCCTGGGGGTAAGAAACAAAATAGAGGGATGCCTCATAGAATTCTGTAAAGCCAACACTCTATTGATCACAAATACATACTTCAGGCAGCCTATCAGACAACTGTATACATGGATTTCATCAGATAACCAATACAGAAATTAAACAGATTATGTAATTGGAAACAAGAGATGGAGAAACTGTATTCTTGTTGCCAAAACAAGCCTGGCAGCAGACTGCAGTAGTGCCAAATAATTTAAAAATCAGGTTAAAGCTGAAAAAAATTGCTAACAGAAACACAGTTCCAAAATGCAACTTAAATAATACACCTGAGGAAGTTCACATGAAGAAAAGATTTGTATTACTCAGCTTAATTGACTATGAGCCAGAAGAACTGTGGAGAGAAACCAGGGACATTATTCCGGAAGAATGCCAAAAGGCAATTCCTGTAGCAACAAGAAGTAAAAAACTGAGATGGATGACAGAAGAAACACTCACAATTGCTAAGGGCAAGCAAGAAGCAAATACAAAAGGTGACAGAAATAGGGACATAATCCTGAATGCAACTTTTCAGTGACTATCATGTACAGACAAAAAGAACTATTACAATGATCAGTGCAAAGAGATAGAAGAGAACAACAAAGGAGGAAAAACAAGAGCCCTTTCCCAGAAAATCTAAGAAATAAAGGAGATATTTATTTAAAACTTTTGTAGACCGTCCCATTACAGAAGTCTTGGGATGGTTTAAAAATACAAAATATAAGAAAAAAAAATAAAATATAGTGTCCTAAAATTTTCCTAATAATAAAACCCCAATTAAAACAGTCAAGTCTTAAAATATTGGGGAAATAAAAAGGGTTTGGCCTGGCACCGAAAAGAATAAAGTGTCAATGCCAGTCAAAGCTCTCTGGGGAGCAAATTCCACAATTGGGGTGCCACCAGAGAGAAGGCTCTTCAAACTGAGATTAGGAATGCTGAAAGACAAACAAAGGATAGACTATCTGACCAGGAGAAAATAAAGAGAAGGTGGAAACAACATAGGGAAGAACTATGCAGAAGAGCTGAAAGGATGACAAGACTCCTTTAAAGAAGACTCTTATTAAGAAGAACATGCAATATTATAAGGTGAAGTGAAAGCTGCTCTGAAAGCATGTGAAAGAAATAAAGCATCCTGATAGGATACCAATAGAACTATTCCAAGCTGCAAAGACTTGGTCCAAATCTTAGCAAGAATATGCAACAAATATGGAGAACAAATGGCCTACAGACTGGAAACGTTAGGTATACATTCAAATTCCCAAGAAGGAGATGCAAAAAAATGCAGCGGTACAAAGTGCTGCTTAAGGTGCAAAAAAGAATATTACCCCATATGGAGCAAGAAATGCCTAATGTTCAAGATGGACTCCAAAAAAGAGAGGGAGCACTTGAAATCAGATTGCAAATACTGTTGGCTACTGGGGTACACCAAAAGAATTTCAGAAGATCAGTCTATGCTTTATAGACTACAGCAAAGCCTTTAATTATGTGGATCATGAGAGGCTATGGATAGCCCTTGAAGAAATGGGGGTACCTCAGCACTTCCTGAAGCATAGACTGCATTGTAGACAAGAAACTACTGTTGGACAGAATATGGAGAAACAAGAGCATCAGAGAAGGGTGTATTTTATCTCCCTATCCGGTCAATCATAAAGAAAGTTGGATTAGGATCAGAGGATTCCGTATCAATTTAAAACAGGGTTGGAGAACCTGCAAGTCATAAATTGATCCAATGAGCAAAGGTTCATCCCCTGAGGGCTAGCAAGGAGAGAAATCGCTGTAGTTCTCCTCTAAGCCACTAAGTGCTTTACTGCACATATGTCTTTTATATCTTCCCCAATAAAAATGGTGCAGGGCAGATAAAACTGTCCCAAATCATATGCTAGCACTCCTCTAGCTGGTGCCCTGGTCAAGGACCTAGCTGTGCTGGGTATGGACTTCCCACAGTCAGTTGGAAAAACTCCACCTTGTGACTAAATCACTTCAAGGTTACAAACCTCTGACATGTTCCAGTCCACCAATGGTTCAGCAGAGGGGCATCTGCCACCCAAAACAATAGTATATTCTTGATTTATGCTGATTAGTAATGCTTGATATAAGGAAAACACCCTTGACAATGACCCAAGTGCTTTAGGTCAGCTATGCTGCTAAGACGTTTCATGGGGGATGTGGATGTGCCATTTCAAGGGGAGCAAAGCATTTTTGGGAGTAAAAAGTCCCCAATTCTTTATTGGTCTTCAGTGCATACTGCATTTAAATGTGTTGCTCAAAAAACAAAGTTTTTGATTAGAGGCAATGCTTGTGTATATCACAGGGTTCCAAATTAAAGGAGTCTATATAGGTGTCAAATCAAGCCAGAACTTTCCCTAGAAGCAAAAATGGCAAAACTGAGACTGTCATACTCTGGGTACACATCAGGGTACACATCATGAGCTCTCTGGAGAAGTCAATCATGCTACAGAAAGTTAAGGGCAGAAGTAAAGGAAGACCAAATATGGGATGGACAGATTCCATAAAGGATGTCACAGACTTGAATTTACAAGACTTGAACAGGGCTGTTGTGTAAAGAACATTTTGGAGGACTTTCATTTATGGGGCCAAGCTGGAGATAACTTGTTGGCGCATAACAAAATACATATATAGCTTTCCCTTTACAAACGTCCCCATGGACAGTGTGTATTGGTTGATGTCAGCAGGGGATGCAAGATAGGAACTTGTGATTAAGGACTAGAAAGGAAATTCCTGATAGACTCATTCTTGCTCTTGATAATCTCTTAATTATGGAGATGTATGATATTGGATCCAATCCAAAGACAAGTGGTGAGACCACTAAATAAGGAGGAAGGAGATCCAGTGACTGATATGAGGGAACAGGCACAGATGCTAAATGACTATTTTGCCTCTGTGTTCTCCCCAAAGCTGGACTGGGGAGATCTGCATAGGAGATTAGATGAGGCCGGGGACTTAGGAGCACATATTAGAGTCACCCCCCTAGAAGTCAAGGGGCTCCTCAGGGCATTGGACATTACAAAGGCGCCAGGCCCTGACCCGAGAGTACTTAGAGAGTTGGCAGGGGTTCTTTCACACCCGCTGGCCTCCATTTTTGAGGCCTTGTGGAGAACGGGTGAAGTTCCAGAGGACTGGAGGGTGGCATCAGTGGTCCCAATTTTCAAAAAGGATAGTAGAAGGGACATGGGGAATTACAGACCTGTTAGTCTTACGTCCATTGTAGGAAAAACAATGGAAAGGCTCATAATAGAAAGAGATCTAGTGATGCTAGATAGGGAAGGGAGACTGACAGCCACACAACACGGGTTCTGCAAAAACAGGTCCTGCCAGACAAACCTTGTGGAATTCTATGACAAGGTTTTGAAATAGCTAGATGGAGGGGATGCAGTGGAGGTGGTTTACCTGGATTTCAGCAAGGCCTTTGACGAAGTGCCCGATGATATCCTGGTGCAGAAACTGAGTTTTGGGATACACCAAAGCACTGTCCAGTGGATTAGAGCATGGTTGACTGACTGAAAGCAGAGGGTAACCATTAGTGGGGAATCATCGGGATGGTGGCCAGTGACAAGCGGGGTTCCCCAGGGCTCTGTCCTGAGGCCAATCCTGTTTAATCTTTTCATAAATGACATGGAATAAGGGGTGAATAGTCTGCTGATCAAATTCGCAGACGATACTAAAACTGGGGCAGTGGCCACAACTGAGGAGCAGGTGCTCCAGATCCAAAAGGATCTGGACAGATTATGGAAGTGGGCAGGAGACAACAGGGTGGAGTTCTATGTGGATAAGTGCAAGGTCTTGCACTTGGGGCATAGGAATGGGTTTCATAAGTACAGGTTAGGGGGCAAGTGGCTGGAGAGCAGCACTTGTGAAAGGGACCTTGGGGTACTGGTTGACTGCAGGCCAAACACTGAGTCAGCAGTGTGCTGCGTTGGTCAAGAGGGTGAACACCACCGTTGGTTGCATAGCCAGAAGCATGACTTCTAGATCGAGAGAGGTATTACTACCACTCTATATGACTCTGGTGCGCCTGCAACTGGAGTACTGTGCTCAGTTTTGGGCCCCTCGTTATAGGAAGGATATATCCAGGGTAGTGTCAGTGCAGCGTAGGGCCACAAGAATGCTGGCCAGTTTGCGGGGGATGCCGTATGAGGTGAGAGTGAGGGAACTGCGTCTCTTCAGCCTGGAGAAGAGGAGATTCAGAGGGGGTATGTTGGCAACATACAGGTATGCGAGGGGATGTCACATGGAGATGGGTAGAGACCTGTTCTCCCCTGCAGAGGAAGGCAGGACACACTCCAACGGAGCAAAGCTCAGAGAACCAAGGTTCCATTTGGATGCCAGGAAGCACTTCCTGACAGTCAGGACCCTGAGGGTGTGGAATGAGCTTCCACAAGAGGTTGTTGAGGCACCATCGGTGAGGGTGTTCAAAGATAGGCTGGACATGCACATGGTGAGCCGGGGGTCAGACTAGATGGCCCGGGAGACCCCTTCTGACTTGCTCTGATTCTATGTTTATTTTAGGTTGGAGTGACATTCTAAAGAAATCCTTGCCTCCAGGCCCACAAGGTAGGTGAGAGTGTGTGGGGCCATTCTACAAGCTCCGCTGAACCCCCACTTTTCCCATTTCCTCCCCATTCGTCTTCCTCTGTGTGCTGCACTTAGATTTAGTCTGTAAGCCTTCGAGCAGGGATGGTCTGCTTTATCGATTATGTCTGTCATTTCGGGGAGTCATTCTGGTGAAGGAAGAGATAAGAAGATACACACTCTAACCAAACAAATATTTCAATGCACTAATTTATAAGCATTTATTTATTTATTTAAAACATTTATATGCCATCCCTTATGCATGACATCTCAGGACGGCTTACAATCATTAAAACAAAAACACAATAAAACAACCATATCAATATAATAAATAACAAATAACCAGAAAATATAAATTAAATAAAAAGTGACTGTTGACTATTAAAATTATTAGTTTTTAAAATAACCATTAAATTAAAAGGCTGAAAAGAGTATAAACTCAGGGCCAGGCGAACCTCTCCAGGGAGCACATTCCACAATCTGGGCGCCACCACAGAGAAGGTGGTGTCTTTTCGCGTAGATGTCTTTTTTACCTCCTTCAAGGAGGGTTCCTGGAGGAGGGCCTCTCCCGCGGATCTTGAGGGCATATAAAGAAGGTGACATTCATCTCGGTCCCAAGCCATTCAGGGCTTTATAGGTCAAAACCAGCACCTTGAATTGGGCCCGGACTTCAATTATGATATTATAAAGTATGCCATGATGTTTTGGAACTACAACTCCCCTTCACCTCAACCTGCCTTCCCAACTGGCCGTGTAGCTGTGGTGATGATCGCAACAATCCTGGAGGTCAAAAAGGTTGGGGGAAAGGGTGCGTGTATCTTTTAGGCAATTTCTATATTTGCTGCACGGACGTAGCTGCCATGTATTTCCGGAGGCGCAGCCGCGTTAAGTCTGTTGACACCAAAACAGTCCAAGAGTCTTGCGGCCTCAAAGTCTTCACCCACTTACTTTGAGCTGCAGAAGAACTTCCTGCCAAAATAAATACACGCGCAGGCTTTAAGGCGGCAGCCCCGCAGTTTGCTCTTGCAGGAATTCATGGAGCACGCAAGGAAGCCGCCGCTCCAGCGGCCCCAGAAACGGGCTCTCCGGCGCCGCAGCCCTCCCAGCAGCAAAGGCAACCACCCCTCCGACACGCCATAGGCCCGACGCGCCGTCTGCAGTGGCTGCCCGCCCTCCTCCTTTCATCTCTGGACAGTTAGGACTAACTCCTCCCGGAGGCGGATCCTGTCGGGCAGGCCCCTGCCTCTGCATGGAACGGCGGACCGGAGCAAAAGGGCTGACTCCGCCATGGTGACCGGGATGCTGCTCTGCTCGACCTCCTCCCGCTTCCGGGGGGCTTCTGCCGCTCGGTTGTCACCTATCTTTGTTGGGCTGCAGAGGAGCTACAGCCACGATGGTTCCGTTTCGCAGTACCTGCACCGCAGCCTCGTTCCCACTATGCATTTTCAGAAGAGCCTGCCCCGGTAAGGTGACACCTCGGGGAGAGATGAAACTGCGGGACCGGAACAGGCCCCCCGAGCTACACCCAGAGCCCTTCGGCTTGCTCCGTCTCAGGCTGCCTTTCGTTTTCGCCGCAAGGGTGCTTTGCGCGCAGCCTCTCGTACCCGCTCCAACAGGGCTTTGCTTCCTCAGGGCCTTCCAATAAATGGTAGAGGGATAAGAGAGAGAGTGTTCCTCTAGGCATGCCCAGAATGCATCCCCCTCCAATCATGCATCTGTTTGGGGCTTGAGATAGAGTGTCGTGTAAGCACTCTGAATTAGAGTGTACCCAGGAGAGTGTCACCATCCTTTCTTCACTAGCTTGTCGCTGCCAGATGTTTTGGGCTACAGCACTTGTTACCCCCAGCCCCTTGTGGAGGCAAACAGCTGCACTGGCTGGCAATGATGGGAGTTGTAGCCCAAGACATGTGGACAGCACTGGGGAAAGCTGTTGAAAGAAGAATGCTGAAGTGTACAGGTTCTCCATTACTACAGCACTGTGATAGGGACAAGTGCACCTAAGGAAAGGCTGCCCTTGTGAGCAAGAAGCAGAAGTGCTTTCTCATCAAGTTTTAGCAACGTTACCCCAAGGAGTTTAATCCAGCTGAATCTCCTTGAGGGTTTTGCAAGTACCTCTGTTAAGAGCCCAGCACTCTGCAGGGCTTCCTGTTTGCCCCAAAATTCCAGTTGACTTACATTAGATTCCACACTGATCACATACACACTATTGAATGCATTTTTAAAATAAATGAATTAGTATCCTGGCTTTTTGCCAAAAAAAAAAAGCAATTAAAGTTAACAATGGTTACAAATGCAATTCAGATTATAAGCTTTGGCACCATCTTAACCAGTGCAGAAGAATGATCAGTCCTTACCTTCACTAAGTAAAGGTGCCAAAGCTTTATACTATGCTAGTTCATTGGCTGTGTCATGTTGGGAGATGTAGACCTTTTTCTGTGGCAAGTTGTATGGGTTTACATCCTAAAGTGCTAAGAAATGTCTTAGATACCTGAGCCTAGTGTGCCAAAGAGAAATGTTAAGTATGTGTGGAATTTCACTATATAACTCAACATTTGAACACAAGATCCTATTTGTTGTAAATAAAGCTGAGCAAACTTTTTTACAGCTTGATTAAAATTGGATAAGGTTACCAGGAGGAGATGGCCCATACATTACCTGCTGTCTAAGTGTTATGTACTTCTAACAGTTGCCCTGCGCCCAGGAAACCATACCAGTTTATACCTGTGAATCTAGAAACTGCCTTTGGCTCAGGCTCACAACTTCCAGTGAGCAAACTGTTTGCTGGATTGAAGCAGGAATGTTAAAATAAAAAGATAAATGCAAACATATAGTGATTGTGGGTAGGGTGTTGAGTCAGAGATCCACCAGTTTTGCTTGCTGCCTGTGATTTGTGGTTGCCACTGATATTGGCATGCGCAGTGGCTGCGGGACAGGGCACTGGCCTATCATTTTGTTCGGCTTGGCTTTGTACACTCAGAAGTTGTAGAAATCTTTTGTTAATGCAACATTGTAGCTGGACTGTTTGAGGCCATAGTTTGATCATTTGCTAGTGCTTATAAAATGGAAAAGGACTTTGCACATGCTAAATTACACCATGGTGAGAGATGTGTTAGGAGTTTTAAAAAAAGAGCAAGAAAAAAGAATGTGATCTGCCGCTAGTAATGAAAAGCCTTCTGTCTTTAGGATGAGATCAAGTACAGTATGTAGGTGAAAGGTTAGTGCTAAAAACAGGAAGTGATTGCTATCCGTAATTAAATATGCATCACTTTAATATCTCCCGTGTGACCTTTTACCTACCTTATGATGAGTACTGAAGGAATTTAGAAAGAATAAAACTGTTCCAACTTGTTTACTTTGCGCATTGCTACACCTCGCTTTTTAATAAAATATTTAAACAGCTTTCTTGACTTTTCCCCACCTGAATATTCATAGGATTGCACCATTAGGGTCATCCTGTAAATATAATTATGTTCTTAGTCTGTCTAAAAGAAGTAGAGATCCAGTGTACTTTATTAACTATTGAACCAAAACTCTCTCCCTAGTAACTGAGAATACTTGGCCATTGTTGGGCTGTTCTGAAGTTCCCTCCCAGTTTTTTTTCTATGAAGGTTCTTTTGGTATTTTGGAGTTTGTCAAGCCTGCTTATAGCCATCCTCTGAAGTGTAGATGGTGCTAGATTGGCTGCATAAGGATTGGCACTGGGAAAATGATTGTGCCATGTATTTCCAGTGTTCATGTTACTGCAAACTTTAAGTCAGTTTCAGAACAAGCTTAATCAGGGTGCCTAATTTTAGAGCTAAATAGCCTTAAGTTTTGGCTATAAATGTAAGCAATATTTTGTTCAACTACATTTATAGCCAGATTTTAAAGGGTAATAATAGATTATTCATGTTACTCATTACTGTCTTATTAGTAAGAAATACTCTTTGAGTCCCTTTCAAGGTTGTATTTAAACTTCAAATGGCTCAATAGTCAAATTTTGAATCAAAATATTTCTGTGTAGTGTTTCTTGTAGAATGTTTAACATGGTAATTTTCTGTTCTTTTAATTCTTTGTCCCTGCCTTATTAGGTTGCCTATTCCAAAACTTGAAGATACAATTAGAAGATACTTGAATGCTCAAAAGCCTCTTTTAGATGATGACCAGTTCAGGTAAGAACAAAGAAGAAAACAAGGAACTAACCTTCATGCAAGCTGCACAGTGCTACAAGAACCTTTCCCTTCCTTCTATAAGTAAGAAAAGCCACTTGTGCTGTAATCCTGAGTGAATCCAGAACACTGCAGCCTTGAAATTAACATCATTTCTTCATAGTCAGCTAGGAACCTCTGCAGAAGGTGGGAGAAGGAGGGAGATGCAGAGATGACCTGCAGCATTCATTAAGAGAGCCAGTGTGGTACAGTGGTTAAGAGCATGGGACTGGGATTCAGACGACCTGGGTTCTAGTCCCCGCTCAGCCATGGAGCCAACTGGGTGACTTTGGGCCAGTCACAGACTCTCAGCCCAACCTACCTCACAGGGTTGTTGTGGGGATAAGATGGAGGAGGAGAATGATATAAGCTGCCTTGAGCCCTTTGTAGGAAAAAGGCAAGATATAAATCGAAAAATAAATAAATAAATCAACATTTTCATCTTAAATAGTTTATTTCTCAGAATGAGGCATAGTAGTGTCATTAAATCCCTTTCTCTGTTTAATAAAGGAAAACTGAACAACTTGCTGTCAGTTTTGGAAATGGAATTGGTAGAGAATTACATAAGCAGCTGGTTGCACAAGACAAGAGAAACAAGTATACTAGTTATATTTCAGGTAAGAAAATAACTATGAAACTTCATTTTATTCTTGGTATATATTGCTGATTATTTATAATACATCTTTATTGTGAAACAAAAAACCAAACTACACCATTAGTGGAAAAAAGGAATAATATAAATGAAAACATGACAATATTGAATAAAAATATAAAAGATTTAAAGCACTTTATTTATTTATCTATTTATTTGATATACAAACCACACCCAATAGTCCTGAAAAGGACTCCCTCAGTTACACATGCATATTACATATCCTTACGTATTACTATGCACCAAAACCAACTACCATGGGAACACAGTATCTGTCAGAATGCCTCTCCTAATTGTGAAAAATGGTGTGCGATCTGAAAACTGGAAGTACGATTGACCATTCACATCAGTAAATCCATGTAGGATTATCAGAATGGTCTGCAATGCTGAGGAGTCACTGCCAGTCAGTGTGGACAATACTGGTTAGATGGACTGAAAGTCTGACTCAGAATGAAGCAGTTCCCTATGTTTCTAAACACTCTTTTTCACATGATCCCTCAGGATTTGGGGGAAGGGGCTCTTGTGTCCCAGGATCTATGAACATGAGAGTTTGTGGATTCTCCTGCAAAGGATCTTTTGGAGCACCCCACCCCCCTTTTTGGGGAACACTTGAGAAAAGTTGATTCTAAAGTGCTAAAGGGTTGGTTTTAGCATGTACGCTTTCTGGGAATCAGGCTACATTTTCCTGATGTGGCAGCAAAAGCAGATTTCAGATTCCATTTTCACAAAGGCTCCAGGCCTTAGCAGCATCTGACAGTTCACTTTGATAGGATTTCAGTACAGAGGGGGAAATCAATTTACATGCTCCCTAGGGGAGCTGGACAGTCCCTCTAATGTACAGTTGGTGTACCTTGTGGGGACTGCCTAGGAAAGGCTAAGCTGGGATCATGAAAACCAGCTTGAGAAACAGCTTTAGCAATCTCAAAAAGAAAATCAAACTGCAACAAGCTGCAAATGTCTTGTGATGGCAGAAAGGAAGAAGAGAACCCTTGAGAGATGCTCAAGGGAGGACCAAAGACATATCTGTTAGGCATGCCATTGGCCCTGGGGCAGCCAACTCATAGTTTGTGGCTTATGCTGCAGCATGTGTTGTGCTATCATGCACACCACACAGATTAAATGCACAGATTCCTTGAGTAATGCTGGTGGCCCCAGTCAGTATCATGGGGGACAGACTATGGCTGGTTGGTACAGCAAGCGCATGCTTTGAATGTAGAAGGTCCCAGGTTTCGTTTGTCACACTTCCAATTAAAAGATTTCTGACACTAAGTGGAACAAGCTCCACCGGGGTCCTTGATGAAATGCTGCTATGTGGAACATACAATATTGGACAAGATGGGCCTATGATCTGAGTTAGTTTAAGGCAGTGCCCTTGATTTCTCCTTGACTTGAAAAATAAATGTGTGGAAAAAGGAAGTGGGAAAGAAAGTCTACTTCTTCAAGTAAAAGATTCTGTAATTCTGTGAAGGCCAGTGTAATGAAAGAAAACAGTTATTACAGTAATCCCATGACTAATTCAAAACCAATGTAAAATCTATTTCAGAATGTTGAAGCAAGTACCATCTTCAAAGAATCCAACTTAGTCACAGCTATGAATTGCTTGGCCCTGGAAAGGCAAGCAGCACAAGAGAGAAAAGGAAGCATGCTTCAGTTTTCCCGTTATCAAAGAACAAGAGCAGGAAAGATGCAGACAGAGGAAGACCAGAGGATAAAGAAAAAGGAGATAGCAAATATATAGGACAAGAGAGAGAGAGAGAGAGAGAGAGGGAGGGAGGGAGGGAGGGAGGGAGGGAGAGGGAGGGAGAATGAGAATGAGAATGAGAATGAGAATGAGAATGAGAATGAGAATGAGAATGAAAGAAAACAGGGAAGTGTATTTCATTTAGGTTAGTGTATTTTATTTTTCCTGCAGCTGTCCTAAAATTTTGGTTTTTCCCACCAGTTGGCTGTTGATTTTACAAAAATACTCAGGGAGAGAACAAGCTTTTATGCACAACACATGTTTAGTAACAATACAAAGTTCATAACATTTCCTGCTATTGCAATTCTGTATTCTTTACTGAGAGGACATAAGAGGACTCCAACTTCAACCTGAACTAAGTTCATGTGAGTTAAAATGCAATCTGTCCTATAGATACTTCACTGAGAATTATTAAAATGATTGCAGGTTGAGGGTGAGCTCAAGTATACTCCTTTATCTGTTGAACAAAATTGTCATGTTAGCTCTGCAGCTACTGCTGTTGTCATGTGGAATGGGGTAGTGGAGGGAGAGTTCTTTTGGTTTTTTTCTTCCCTCCTCCTTTTATATAATTGATATCATTAATAATGAATATATGAAATGGAAACATTTCTGTTGAAAAATAAAGCACAGGGAAATTTTCCATTGTAAAATTTCCATACCACATCACTGATTACTGAGGTATGAAAATGAAGATTTCTCCAACCAAGAGCCTAATGTATTTGTTTTACTATTCAGACTGAATAGAGTATTGCCTTTCTTCTCTCATTAACATTCACTTTGCAGCCTTCATATTTGTGAGGAAATACTAGTTTTTAAGCCAAACATAAAATTCAGATACTTCAGTGGAGGTCAACAATCAGAACCAAAATGTTGGCTGTTGAACTGAGGCTTGTTGCAGAAAAGGTGGAGAGGAAAGAACAACAGAATAAAGGAATATGACAAGGAAAGAGCCAAGGAGAGGGTATGCAGGAAGGTGAAATGCTACTGGATTTCTACTTCTGAGACAACAGTGGTAGGTCAAAGGGGAAGGCAACGTCTGAATGGACACTGGATACAAAAGTGTACTCCTAAATTAATGTGCCATAAAGGCTGCATGCCTCTTCATTCCACAAAAGAGAAATGAGCAGAAGCTTCATTTTGCTGTGTAGGAACTTAGATATGAAGGGTCACCATAACTTGGGATGACGTGACGGCACATAACAAGAGCTATTTCTTAATAGATCTTAGTCTGTCAGTCAGTTCAGGTCCCCTTCATGAGTATCTCATACTCATGAACCTTGATTTGTTTTCTAGCCATGGTATTTATTTGTCCTGTCATCTCTCAATTTTAGGTCCCTGGTTTGATATGTACCTACAAGCGCGTGAATCTGTTGTTTTGAACTTCAATCCATTTATGGCTTTCAATCCTGACCCTAAAACTGAGTATAATAACCAGCTTATAAGAGCAACTAACTTGACTGTGTCTGCTCTGCGTTTCATGAAGACTCTCAGGGCTGGCCTTTTAGAGCCAGAGATTTTTCACCTCAATCCATCCAAAAGTGATACTCAGACTTTTAAAAAGCTCATTCGATTTGTGCCTTCTTCTCTTTCGTGGTTTGGCGCATATATGGTAAATGCCTACCCACTAGATATGTCACAGTACTTCAGACTTTTCAATTCCACACGGCTGCCTAAGCAAAACAAGGATGAGCTGTTCACTGATGAAAATGAGAAACACTTACTGGTGCTTAGAAATGGGAATTTTTATGTGTTTGATGTAATTGATAGAGATGGGAATATAGTGAAACCTTCAGAAATCCAAGCCCACCTGAAATGGATTCTTTCTGACAACAGTCCGGTTCCAGCATTCCCTCTGGCTTGTCTTACTAGTGAAAACCGGGATACATGGGCAAAGATGAGACAGGAGCTACTTGACAATGGCAATAAAGAAGCCTTAGCAAAAGTGGATTCTGCAATATTTTGTCTGTGCCTTGATGACTTTCCAGTGAAAGACTACAACCACCTGTCCCATACTATGCTTCATGGTGATGGCATCAATAGGTGGTATGACAAATCATTTAACCTTATTTTAGCCAAAGATGGCACTACAGCAGTTCACTTTGAACACTCATGGGGAGATGGAGTAGCTGTGCTTAGGTTCCAAAACGAAGTGTTTAAAGACAGCACCCAGGCACCTGCAATTACACCCCAGGCTCAGCCTGCTGTGGTTGATTCTGCTGTGGCTGTACAGAAACTGAACTTCAAACTGAATGATGCCTTAAAGGAAGGAATTACCAAAGTCAAGCAAACCTTTGATGCTACTGTGAAAACCTTGACTATGAAGACTATGCAGTTTGAAAGAGGAGGCAAGGAGGCAATAAAGAAGCAAAAGCTAAGTCCTGATGCGCTCGCTCAGCTTGCCTTCCAGATGGCTTTTCTGCAGCAGTATGGCCAAACTGTTGCCACCTATGAATCCTGCAGCACAGCAGCATTCAAACACGGCCGCACTGAAACCATCCGTCCTGCCTCAGTACATACAAAGGCATGTTCAGAGGCTTTAGTTAGGAAGGTGTCCCAACACAGTGCAGCAGAGCTGCGGCAGATGATAGCAGAGTGTTCCAAGTATCACAGTCAACTCACCAAAGAAGCCGCTATGGGTAAGTGAAATTGCAGTGATTTCCTCCCCAGTGTGCTTGGTAAAAAGAAGTTATAGTTTATTTTACACTGACTGAGGTGCAGGTAGATTGTTGCCTACCAAGTATGCTCAGAGTGATCTAAATTGCTAAGTCAAGTCGATACAAAGACCCAGAAGATGTCTTGCCATTAGGTTAAGTGGAACCTTGCATTGCATTGATACCGAAATTAAAAATTGTCTTCTTCTAGATAGTATTTTGGGGGAAAAAAATCAGCCTCCATTCCTTATATGAATACAAGGAATAATATACAATATACAATTTAAGGGAATTTTTACATGTGCATATGATTATAGTGTATCTATGACTAGAAACTTGGGTCGCAGTACTTAGATCCGTATATTTGGAGCTTTCTTTAGCTGTGCACCTTAAGTTATTTGACATCTAGCGATTAGTTCTCAACACAACTGATGTACAAGCTGCAAAATGTAAGATATAAAGTATTTTCAGGAAATTGTACTTCACTTTGAAATTATTTTGCATGTTTTAAGCTCAGAAGGAATACAGGGCATTATGTCTGAACAACCCTAAGTTCTTGGGTCCACTGTCTACATTTTTGGTACCGTAGCCATAATCTTTGGGAGGGACAGACACTTCAAAGAGAAGAATGGGGTTTCCCTTTGCAATGTTCAGTCGTAAACTTTTGTTTTCTGCAGCTCCACTCACTACTGCATTTTATCTTGATAGGTCAGGGATTTGATCGTCACTTGTTCGCTTTGCGGCATCTGGCAGAATCCAGTGGAACTCCTTTGCCGAGCTTTTTCCAGGACCAAGCATATGCACAGATTAATTACAATATTCTCTCCACAAGCACTCTGAGCAGCCCAGCTGTATTCATGGGAGGATTTGGGCCAGTAGTGCCTGATGGTTTTGGTGTTGGTTATGGAGTGCATGATAACTGGATTGGATGCAATGTTTCTGCCTATCCAGCTAGAAAAGTTGATGAATTCCTCCAGTGTATACACAAGTCACTGGATGCCATTTTTAATGTTCTGGAAGGGAAACAAGTTAGTAATTAAGATACAGCAGTGCAGATTTTCTAAAATGCATTCAGCAACAGGAATTCAGTATTATTCTGGCCAGAATTTGAGAGTAACATACTTTGTTTTTTAAAAATGACAGTGCATCAAGGAAAAAAAGCATGAATTTAATTCTATGGGCTAGATCCAGACTTAAAACATGCTTAAGCACACATTAATGAACTAATCAAAATCATGAGCTAAGTTAATCATGACCAACTTGTCCAACTGATTTTATTGGGTCTATTTCAACAAGTACTAAGTCTGGGCTAAACTTCTGCATACCTTCTACATTATTAGTATTGATTGTAAAATAAAGCTGTTTCTGTACTGTTACCTCAGGAAATGCATGTTCTCACAGCCTATTTCTAGGCTGCTTGAGCAAAAGCTTCACCCTTTTAATAAACAAACCAGATAACGTTGATAACTTTAATATACAGTATAAATGAATGTAGACAGTACAAACTACTAACTCATGCACATAGAATATGTCAGTGCTTGATTTAAATGTTCTTAAGCCCTTGTGTCAGACTACTGTCCAATACTGAAACTTATTTTTGAGCAAGAAGCAGCTATCCATTCTTAACTAGCCCGGCTAAAGAATTTAGTGCAGTAGAATAATTTTCATGTTATGCTTCCTCAGATCTACCCTTTAACTTACAAGAAGTTTCTGTATGCATCAAAACAGTATTTCCAAGAACAGCTAGAATGGTCCTTCAGCTAAAGTCAGCTTTGATTGCACAGACAGTAGCCACTTGTTCAGAAATTCTAGTTTCAGCGTAAGTTGTTTGAGACAGTAAAAGCACATTTCTGTGGATGTACAGACAGAAAAAAGGCCAGTTGTTCTGGACATACTTAGCCACCATGGCTGTCTGGATGGTAGGAGTTGCAGGACATTTTTCTGTCTAAACATATGTAGGTTGCGCTACCTTGAAGGAGCAGGTTCATAGCTAGGGGTGCTGCTTGATCCATCTTAGTCACTTGAGGTTCAGGTAGGCTCAGTGATTTGGAATGCCCACCACCAGCTTTGATTGGTGGCCCAGCTACGACCTTATCTGGATTAGAATGGTCTTGCTTTGGTAATCTGTGCTCTGATAATCTCTAAACTAGGTTGCTGAGCTGCTCTCTACACAGGGCTGCCCTTGAAGATTGTTCAGAAACTGCAGCTGGTGCAGAATGTGGCAGCCAGTTTAAAACTGGGACCTGAGCCCATAAGACCAATTCTGGCCCACTTGCATTGGCTGGCCATATGCTTCCAGTTCCAACCCAAGATGGTTTTAACCTATAAACCTTTCATGGTTTAGGAAAGCAAGACCTGTTGAAGCATCTCTCCCAGCCAAAATCTACTTGAATACCATGCGCAACCTCTTGGTCCTTCAAGTGAGTGCCGATGTCATAGGAAGAGCATAGGGTGACAACAAGGAGGAGAGCTTTCTATGTGGTGGCCCCTTGTCTATGGAACCATCTCCTTACTGCAGTCCAGCTGGTGCCAAATTTGTCATCTTTTCAGTGGCAGGTTATGATGTCTCTTTATGCTGAGGCCTTTGAAGACTTACTTGGTTACCCAGGGGATTGAGGGGGATTACCTGTCCCAGGTGTTCTACAGTCAGTCTTTGGTATTGTTTTAGCTATTTTAAACTTTTAATTTTGATATTTTTATTCCAAATTATTGTCTGTTTTACAGATTCTTGTAAACTACCCAGAGAGCTTCAGCTGTGGGGTGGTATAGAAATTTAATAATAATGTATTTTATTTTTGCGCATTGGATTGTGCCCTTAGATAGAAACTTCAGACTGAGCTACCATGAGTCTGACCTAAAGTCAAGTTATAGACCTTGACTATAAAACAAATACTCTGCAGAAGGATATAAGCTCAGATTTACATTTGTTTCAACTAAAAACAATATCTTTCATGGTGAAATTATTTTCTGAACATTTTTTAATCTGAGGTTAGTAAAGTATCAAAAAGGAATGATATGCATATTAAGTTAAGTGGAAGGCTCTAAATGCACAGTTGGACAGCTGCCTTGATGTTTTCCATATCAACTCTCTCCTGCTGTTGGAATTCACTTTGCTTCACAAAAGATTAAAGTGAAATTCAAATGTGAACTGTCAGCAGCCTTGTAATATATGGCTATGGAATGGACTATGTTGTAACAAATGAAAAACTAAAAGCACACTGGCTTAGATCTTAAGGAACACTTGTTAGTCCCTTCTGCAGCTACCTGTAATCCCCAGAAAGCCTCCTTGGACAGTAAGGGAGCCCTCCTGAACAATGTGAGATATGGCATGGCTTATAGAATTTAAGAACTTTACTTCCAAGAGCTTGCTTAATTTATCTTAGGAACCTAGTCACTATATAACATGTGTATTTGAGAACTTATGTGAGCAAAAGCACTTCTGGTAATGCAAGGCTAAGAAATTCTCTAATTACTTCTCCACTTTAGCTCCTGCATTCCACTGCACTCTATTCAAGGACCCCCACCCCGTGCACCATCATCATGAGTGAGTTACTGGGTGGGAGGCAAGAGAGAGAAAGTGGAAGAATCCCCATTGCAGAAGTAGAACTCTGCCTCTGGATGCTCTGAAACATCATCATCAACTGAAGAGTCCCAGGTTTATACACATTACAATCTAAGCATAATATGCAAAGAACAAGCAAGAGAGATAGGCCTACTGGAATTATAAAGATGTCTATTTGTCCGTGGAGGAAGTGAAGGCATTTCTGAGGAATTCCAGAATTACATTCATAAGAGAAGTTACATTCGTAAGAGAAGTCAGTTTCAGGGAAATTGACATATATACAACTATTTTTGTTGATAGGGTGGTATAGCACAATTATTCCTTCTATTTCTATATTTCTCCTTTTACCTTAAAAACAAAGCCGCCTTAAAAAATTCAGTTGAGGCTCTCCAGCATGCAAAAGAGTGTTATTCTAAGCCACTTGCTGATTAGGATGGTACTGCCTGGGAATGCAGGAAAGTAAACAGTGGAACTTATCATGAGACTTGCAAACAGCTTGCTTGCTTGCTAGTTGCGAAGTCACGTCCAACCCCTTGCGACCCCATGGACAACACTCCTCCAGGCTTTTCTGTCCTCCTCCATCCCCCCAGTCCACCTAAGCTCACACGGACTGCTTCGGTGACTCCATCTATCCACCTCATCCTCTGCTATTCCCTTCTTTTGCTGTCAATTGCGAACAGCAGGTGTGACCAATTAACTGTTTTGAATAGCACGAGCACATAGTATTCCACAGCACATAAGACTCTAAGATTTAGGATAAAAAGCCTCGTGGCTCCACGCAAGGCAAGCTTCAATGCAGACCTAGCCAGGGAAAGGCGCTGCACACCAGCCAAAATTGGGGTATGCCTTGTTGTCACAAAGGGGCTCCCGACAACTGATTGAGAAAAGTCAGCTTGCTTGATATCGTATTTCTTTTTTTCCATGTTATTGTGCCGGCTTATATTATCGTGTCTGCTGTTGCATAAAATCTTTAGACTTTAACCCACTTGTGTGCTTATTGCTTTTGGATCCAGAAACCCTTTGCTAAAACAATAACAGCTCTATTTATACATAAGATAGAAGTGGAGCTATGGGCTTGTATGCAACAATAAAATTACAAACTAAGTCTTTCTCATACTATTCTATATGCTGTATCTTCCATTAATCAACATTAATCAAATGCTTTGGAAAGGGTTCCAAACCCCTGCATCAGCCTGAACATGGGCTTGATGTGTGTAGTCCTGCTCCAGAACGCTTCGTATGTCTATGGTGGCCTTCCTGATGTGTATTCTTGCTGCCTATGCATACCTTCAGCACACTCCTATGCAGATCTGCCCAGAAATAAGCCCTAAAATGTTCAGTGGGTTTACTTCAGGTGTAAGACAAAGGATAGCAGCCATAAATGTGTTTTTTAAATAGATGTTGATACAAGAAACTAAGTGCATAGGTTGTGGGGGGAGACAAACCACAGAAAGCAAAGGATTTTATTCTCAGTTCTGCCAACACAATTTTAATGTTAAGACTATAGAAAGTGATCTTGTAGAAAAACAAGTTTTAACATTTGACAAATCGATGGGTAACTTCATAGATACCAACTGAGTCTTTTATTTTTTCATCATAGTCAGTCCAGTCCTGTGGAAGTAAATACAGACCATTAGTTCTGTACAGGGTAGAGTACAACTACACGCTGGGTGCTTCAAGTTATAAAGTGTAGCATTCAATGTTAAAAATTTACCCTGCATTGTAAGGCACAGTAACTTAGAGTATTAATTGGCTTCAGGCATCTTTTTTTTTTTAGCTTAAGAAAAAAGATTTTCCCTGTGGGAAGCCCATTGTTTTACTAATAGCCAGGCTCACTATCAGCCTGGATGAAAGGATTAAATTTATTAAGCTTTTGGTGGGTTATCAGACAGACTGATTTTCATGCCAAGGAGTGGAATTGACCTTGACACTGTTTCTCTTATCCAAGCAAGCCTGAGGTTGAGTAAAGTCATTAGTCTGAGACTCCAAGGGGATCATTGCACATTTAACACAACTTCTGCAGATAAGACTACTATAGTAATTGTGGAGCGACTGCTTACAGCCCAGCATGGCCAATGGTTAAGGATGATAGGAGCTAGAGTCCAACAACATCTAGAGCACTACATGTCTAGATGTTACTGAGATCAGACAAAAACTTAAAAAGCTAAAGAAATAGTAATTGCTTAGTGGATCTAGAATATTCGATCAGGTTCAAATCCCCACTTAGTCAGGAATCTCATTGGGTGGCCTTAAGCCAGTCATGGACTCTCAGTTTAGTTTACAGGATTGTCTTGAGGATAACATGGAAGCAGAGAAGCTATGCATGTCAGTGCCCTAGAACAGCTGCCCATGGAACCAATCAGAAGGGGGGCAATCCTGGATTTAATCCTAAGTGGGATGTAAATGTTGTTGAACTGACTGGAAACTGACCACAGTGGTATCAGATTTAATATACAGCTAGGAAGATTGTTCAAGGGGTCTAAGACAGTGGTGCTTGACTTCAAAAGAGGATACTTCTCTAAAATGATGGAACTGGTAAGAAAGAAGCTGAAGAGAGCTGTCAAGAGGGTTAAATCTCTTCAAAATGCTTTGGAGATTGCTCAAAACCACAATACTTAAAGCACAGCATCCCACACATTAGGAAAGGGAACATGAAGTGCAGGAGGTCAGTAGCATGGTTAACAAGTAGAGTCAAGGAAGAAGGCTTACTCCAAGAAATGGAAATCTTGCCCCAATCAGGAAAACAAAAGGGACCACAAGCTTGCACAAAGGAGATGCCAGCAGACAGTAAGAGAAACAATTGTTTGAGGAACATAGTGCTAACAACATCAAGGTGAACAATAAAGAGTTCCTTAAATATATCAGAAGAAAGAAATCAGAAAGGCAGTTGGGCCACTGGATAACAAGGGAATTGAGGGGGCACTAAAGGATAATAAAGAGATTGCAGAGAAGCTAATGAATTCTTTTTAATCTGCCTTCACAGCAGAGGATGCAGAAAAGATACCTACTCTGAATGATTCAGGAAGGGAGTCTGAGAAATTTAAGGCACATAGTAGTAATGATTAAGGCCCAGATGGTATCCCTTCTAGAGTTCTTAAAAAGCTCAAATATGAAATGGCTGACATTCTTACAAAAATATGCAGTATGCCCCTCAGATCATCCTCTGTACCCAAAGATTACAGGATGGCCAATATAACCTATTGGCTAATTTTTAAAAAGGGATCCAGGAAGGATGTGGGTTGCTTATTAGCTGGTCTGGGCTAGTTGGTTGAAAGGGTCATTAAAAACTGAATTAATAAGCACACAGAGGGACAAGCTCTGCTGAAAAAAAATGACACCGCTTCCAGAAAGGTTCCACTAACCTAATAAGAATTCTTTGAGAGTGTCAGTAAGCACTTGGATGGGGTGAGTTGGTAGACATTATTTACCTAGACTTCTCAAATGCTTTTAACAAAATCCCTCACCAAAGACTCCTGAACAAACTCAGGATTCATGGAATAATGGGGGTGGTAGTCTTCTTATGGATCAGTAACTGGTTAAAGCAGAAAACAAAGAGCTGGAATGAATGGTAATTTCTCCCAGTGGATGGATGTAACAGCTGTGGTTCCACAGCATATTAGGGCTGGTGCTTGTCAACCTTTGCATAGATGATCTGGAATTAGGAGTAAGCAATGAAGTAGCCAACTTTGCTGATGGCACTAAGCTATTCAGGGTGGCTAAAACGAAAAGGCACTGAGAGGAGCTCCAAAGAGATCTGTCCAAGCTGAGAGAATGGGCATCAAAATGGCAGATGCAGTTCAGTGTAAGCAAAAGTAAATGCATGTTGGGGCAAAAAATCCTGACTTTAAAAAACAGCCTGATGGGAATAAGCTAGCACTGGCTTATCAAGAAAGAGAGCTGGTGGATATGGTGGACAGCTCAGTGAAAATGCTGACCAAGTGCACAGCTGCAGTGAAAAGACAAGCTCCAATGTTAGGTATAATAAGAAAAGGAATTTAAAATAAAACTGCTAAATTGTACTCCCCTTAGACAAGTATTTGGTGCAATTGTAGTTAGAATGTTGTGTTTAGTTCTGGCTGTTGCACCTGAAAAAGGACATTACTGAGTTGAAAAATGTGCAGAAAAGGGCAACTAAAATGATAAAGGAGTTGGAGCAACTCCCCTGTGAGGAATGGCTGCACTTGGGCCTGTTCAGCTTAGAAAAATGTTGAGTTAAGGGGAACCATGATAGGAGTGTTGTTGTTGTTGCTGTTATAAATTTTATACAGCCAAGTAGCCTTGAAGGGTAGTTTACAATAACTAAAATACAAGATACTTTAAAATACAATATAAAACCAGGTAAAATAATTCCAAACAAAACAAAATCAAATTCTACATGAGACAATAAACACAAGAATTTACGAATTTTATAAAATTTGTAAAATAGCAACAATACAGAAGAATTGAAACTATACAAAACTATAAAAATTTATCATGTAGTATACAACTACAAACCACCCACCTAACTGGCCAATGCCGAGTGTCAGGCCCAACCAGGCACTAACCAGGCATCAATGAGTGATGCACTTTGGCCACTGACCTTCAGCCACCACCCAGGGTGGAAGATTCCTGGGGAAAGTAGATATGGAGACAGGTTTTTTCCCTCCTTTTTTCCATAATATTGGAACTCAGGGGCATCCCATGAAGCTACTTGGTGGGAGAATCCAGGCAGAAAAAAAGAAGTACTTCTTCATACAATGCATAGGTATGCTGTGTAATTCACTACCACCAGAAGCAGTGATGGCTAGGTACAACCTTGATTCTCAGAGGTTGTATGTCTGCACACCCCGGTTGCTGAGGAGCTTGGGCAGGTGAAACTCCTCTGCCCATCCTACTTCAGGGATTGTGTGAGCAGCTGATATGCCCTCATGTGGATAGAGTGCTAAACAGCATGAACCACAGGTCTGATCCAGCATGGCCTGTCTTATGTTTTTACACATATTACCCTGAGCTTCGCTTCCGCCCACCTCCCGCAGCACGCTGCTCCCGGGCAAGCGAATGCAGGCAGACGCACGCGGCTGCGACCTCGACGGCAGCCAGCTCCACCGGCCAGCGCGGGCGCACGCAGCGCCGGAGAGCGCCGCCCGCCAGCCCAGGTGATCGGGCGCGCGCGGTGCGCGACGGGGCGGGTCTCGGAGGCGCCCTGCGGAGTCAAAGCCGCGGCAACGGCTGGGGCCGGCGGCCGAAGGGCGGCGACCAAAGGGGTCGCCGCCGTTTGGGGTGCCGTTCGGGGGGACGAGAGGGGGGCTGGGCTGGCCATGGACTCTTGTTGAAATAGGCTTGCCTACTGCTGATTCTTAGGGAAGAGGAAGGATCCCCTTTTTCTTTTTTTTTTCTATTGTTCTTTTCTCCTCCTTCGACCTACTTTATAATCTTACCCTGCTTTAATCAGTGCTTTGAGTCATTCCTGGCCATGTCGACGTTT